AACATTTGCGCTCCGTCGCGCGATTTCAGCCCGAAACTCTGAAGTGAAGAATGATTCTGCTACAGATATTTGAGTAAGTTTGACTGACCTCGCCCACCAGCTCCAGCCTGGTTCCATAACTGACTTCTGTAATGAAAGAAACTTGCGTGTGGAGGTTGCTGTGAACATCTGGCTGTTTTTATTCAAATTAGGATGTGTTCAGCTGTGAGACTGAGCCTCTTCCCAGTGCTGCTGCTGCTATGGAGCAGCACTGGGGCTTCGGCCATCAGCTCAATAGACCCAGACTGGTCCGGAGAGGGGAGGTGTCAACACATAAACATCCCCCTGTGCAAAGACATCGGCTACAACATGACCCGCATGCCCAATCTCATGGGCCACGATGACCAAAAAGAGGCCGCCATCAAGCTGCAGGAGTTTGCCACACTGATCCAGTACGGGTGCCATAGTCACCTTAAGTTCTTCCTGTGCTCGCTTTACGCTCCCATGTGCACAGAGCAGGTGTCCAACCCCATCCCGGCCTGTAGAGTCATGTGTGAGCAGGTCAAGCAGAGGTGCTCACCCATCCTGGAGCATTTCAAATTCCCCTGGCCTGACTCTTTGGACTGCTCGCGTCTGCCAACTAAAAACGATCCAAACAACCTGTGCATGGAAGCACCCAACAACGGATCAGACGAGCCTCCGAAGGTCTCCAACACCCAGTCTCCAGAGTTCAGGCCACAGAGACCTGTTGGTGGACAAGATCTGCACCTTAAGGACAGCAAGCATATGTGCAGCAATCCTGGCAAGTTCCACTTTGTGGAGAAAAGTGAGTCCTGCGCCCCAAAATGCTACGCAAAAGTGGATGTTTATTGGAGTCAGGGCGACAAGCAGTTTTCTCTGGTGTGGATGGCCATCTGGTCCATCCTCTGCTTCGTCTCCAGTGCCTTCACTGTCCTCACCTTCCTCATCGACCCACAACGGTTCAAATACCCAGAGAGGCCGATCATCTTCCTCTCCATGTCCTACTGTGTTTACTCTGTGGGCTATCTTATTCGGCTCTTTGTGGGAGCTGACAGGATAGCCTGTGACAGAGACAATGGGGTCCAGTACATTATTCAGGAAGGTCTGGAGAGCACCGGCTGCACCATTGTGTTCCTCATCCTATATTATTTTGGTATGGCCAGCTCTCTCTGGTGGGTCATCCTGACCCTCACTTGGTTCCTAGCTGCAGGGAAGAAGTGGGGTCACGAAGCCATCGAGGCCAACAGCAGCTACTTCCACCTGGCAGCATGGGCCATCCCGGCCGTCAAGACCATCATGATCCTGGTGATGAGGAAGGTGGCTGGGGACGAGCTGACAGGCATCTGCTATGTGGGCAGCATGGATGTCAAAGCTCTCACAGGCTTCGTGCTCATCCCTCTCTCCTGCTATCTCATCATCGGCACTTCGTTCCTGTTGTCTGGCTTTGTGGCGCTCTTCCACATACGGAAGATTATGAAAACAGAAGGAGAGAACACTGACAAGCTGGAGAAGCTGATGGTCCGCATCGGGGTCTTCTCTGTGCTCTACACCGTCCCAGCCACCTGCGTCATCGCCTGTTACTTCTACGAGAGGCTCAACATGGACTACTGGCGCATCCTGGCAGTGGAGCAGAAGTGCGTGGACAGCAGCGGGCCAGAGTCGGACGACTGCATCATGAAGGCTTCCATCCCCGCCGTGGAGATCTTCATGGTGAAGATCTTCATGCTGTTGGTGGTGGGCATCACCAGCGGCATGTGGATCTGGACCTCAAAGACACTGCAGTCATGGCAGAACGTGTTCAGCAGGAAGCTGAAGAAGAGGACAAGGAGGAAGGCCACCAGCGTCTTCACCAGCAGCAGGCCTTATATCAAACCTCACCCATCTCTCAAAGGCCCCAACACAAAGTACGAGCCCACACGGCCCCCTCCGACATGTGTATGAGCCAGATCTCTTGGTGCAAACTCAAATGTCCTTTTAAAACCCAGAGAAAGACTTCTGATTGATCAGAAAATCGTCAAAAGATTCAGAATTCCTGTTTTATTTATGTGTTCTGCATTGAGAACATACAACATGCCCCTGTTTTTGTTTCTTCAGCCATGTCACAACAAGAGCAACCTTTACGTCTGAGAAAAATCTGCCTCGCCGTCACTCACTTTTTCATTTCAGGAACTTGGATTTGAAAAAATATAAAATCTAATTGTGCACCTGAAGAGAATAAGTGAAGTAAACTGGATTTGTATTACTTGAATAACGTGCAATAGATGTGAGAGGCTGGTAGATGACAGATGTTCGTTATTGGAGGTCCAGGCAGTTGAACCTCACCAGAAGCCAGTGTGGCAAATTCCTGCCCTAAATTAATCAAGCACTCGATTTTGAAAAGTTGTTTGTACACTGTTTTGCTTTTTTGTCTTTGCTATTTTACAGCACAAGGGAGTATTTGTATATATTTCTAAAAAAGTTGAGATTTTATAGAAAAAATAATAAAACGTTCTAGTTTTAACCCTCTGATGCATAGTGGTCACTGCAGTGGACAGCTACTAAAACGTGCTTATCTCTTTAATGCATTGGTTTCTATGGTGGAATTGCATATTAGCTTCTAGAGTGCTCTCTACTGCCATACTCCATTGAGGTCAATTCAGTGTTCAGTCAGTGCAACTGCAAGTAAATTTCCTCTGAATCCAAGATGGCAGAGAAACTGCCACCCTGCCAACCAGTGCTGGAATATCCTGTCAATCCTTCTATTCTGGGAGAGCCCACCAGGTAAAAAAAATATGATGATATGCAGTATCATCTAGGGAAGGATATTATCTGTTTGGAATAAGAAATTTTTATGTCTAATTTGTAGAAAACTACGATTAACCATGTGTCCAATGAAGTGGACATCATGCATTACCCAGTATATTTTTTAACAAAAGTAATAAATAGCTTCACTGTTTCTTGGATCTGTTTTGGTTATAAGTAAGACTATAATTGTTACATTTATAAGCTACTCATTAAAAATATATATTTTTGTGTAGATTAGCTGTGGTTTGAGTTACTATAATAATTATTTTTATCATATTTTGTAGACTTCAAATGCAGCAAAGAATAAGGCAGCATACAGAATAGCCCAGGAAATTCCCTCCAGCTCCAGTGATGATGAGTGGCTGCCAGAGAAGAACAGAGACATAGGAACTACAGACTGGATACACAAAGTGAGAATGATGAGGGGCAGGATGAAGAGGAAGGTTAGCATGATCAGGGAGCTGTGGGAGATGGGCACATGGCACCTGACCACACTCAAGCCTGCAAAAAAATTTGGAAAGTCCAAGACAATGTCTTTGATGGAGACTTGCCTTGTTTCCAGAAGATCTCATTGATGATATAACATGCAACATCAACTTGTATGCTCTTCAGAAAGGGAAAGAAAATCTGTCAGTAACAGGAGAAGAGATGCAGGTATTCTTAGGGATCAACCTGCTCATGGGGTACATTCGGTATTCAAGGACAGGCTGAAGGGAGCAGATAACAAACTCGAGCGAAAAACAACCGAAAGAACTGGGCAGAGGAGCTTGATCTGTTGTCAGCAATACTGCAGACATCACTGTCACACGTTGGCCCGACAGTTCTGTCATTCATGTGGTCTCGTCCTGTGCTGGTCAATCCCCTGAAGATGTTGCCAACAGATGGGTCAAGAAGGAAAAAAAGATGATGATGGTCCAAAAGCCCTTCGCTGTGGCCCTTTACAATCAACACATGGGTGGGGTTGATCTTCTTGACCAATGTCTGGCAATGTACCCCCACAGACGTCGAAACAAGAGATGGTACATCCGGGTGTTTTTTTTTTTCATTTTTTGGATGTGACCGTTGTAAATGCCTGGCGTCTCTACCAAATGTCTGGTTTGGAAGAGATGAGACTCCTCTTCTTCAAAGCATCTGTGGCTCGTGCACTGATAAATAGTAGCACCCTCCAGCAATGCAAAAGAGGAAGACCCAGTGGGACCCCACAACCCGTGACACAGAGAGCAGTCACCCAAGTAGCACGTGAGGTCAGGTTCGCCACAGGATATCACGGGCCAACTGACCGAGGTGAAAAATGCAAACAGATGCCATGATGCTGCATGCACACAGAAGACCAAATACATCTGCATGCAATGCTCCGTGCTATTGTGCATGCTTTGCAAACTTTCACACAGCCTAGGTGTGATGAACATGTTAGTGTTCGGAGATACAGAGACTAAGTTGTCAGTTTGTCTCTCTTCTAACATACTAATGTAAGGAGTTGGTAATACTGTCCTGCATCGTTATAGAGTTGTGCGGACTCTAAAAAGTTTCTCCTGTTGGAGATACTAGTTTGCTATATTCAGATGTAGGATTCAAAGCTATGACTGTTCATTTGTTTCGTTATTTACGCCTAAACATTGGGGCTGAATAGAGATGAAAGCTCAAAAAAAATGTTGAAATGTTTTTCAAAGCTTACAAGCAAACAAGTGTTTGTATATTTACAGTAGAACACAAGGTACTTCATTTTTACAGTAAGTACAGTGTTTAATGTTGAGTGCTCAGGCGCATGCAGTCCACTGGATTGGACATATCTATAACTTCATAAAAAAAACATATTTTTGGAAAAAAACTGTTGAACCTTTTTTTTCATGTCCTGAGAAGAATAAAATCACTTCAGAAAAAAATCTTGTTCAAGGCTTTCATAATTCATGCATCAGAGGGTTAAACGTTTGGAGTGAATTGTCTGTGTTTCTAATTTCATGCATTTTCTCACAATTCATTTTTATTTAATAATTTAAAAAAGCATGATTTTTTAAAAAGAGGAATAACAAATAATTCAAAAACCATCAACATAAAAACACTTTTCTATCCAGATCAGCTCGGGAGTGTTGCATGTGTTTGCTGTCATCTGGAGACTAAAAATGTAGTTTTGTAAAAAAAAAAAAAGAAAAAAGAGAGATCAGTTTCTAACAAATAATGACATTTATTCTCTTGTGTTGGTTTCATTTTGCTGAGGGCAAAACACCAAAAACGAAGGATTTCCTGGAAGTGTTTGTGTTTGGATAAAATGGTTTATACAGTAGAACAAATTAATGCACATTTGGTGCTCATTTAAAGTATTTATTCAGCATATTTTAACATGTAATTTCGTTTAATGTATCTCATCTAAACAAAAACTGTATTTAAAGGTAATCCGGACTCTAAATGTTTAAAAATGTCCTTATTAAAAATGATTCAAAATCTATTATTTTACTATTTTAATTTGTTTTTTTTACTCTGAAGATGATGCAGAACTTCACTCCTCTTCTTCCTGGTCCTTATCGGTAAAGTGATCACGCAATAATCCAGCTCTCACTCATAACAGGATTAGACTCTTTAAAGAGGTTAATTAAAAAAGCACAACTTTAATCCAAAATACAGATTATCTGTAATCTCCAGTCACAGTTTAAGGGAGATCTGTCCTTGATTTCATGAAAACTGAGATGACGTTTAAGCAACTCAACAAAAGAAACTGAAGGGCGGTCTGGTTTTGGAGGAGTTAGACGAGCATTAGTCTGTCAGAATCTCAGAGGTCCACAAGTCTGGTCTTGACTCCAGGTACGGGCACTTGACTGTCAGAGCAGTGGGAAACCAGAAGTCAAACACAAGGCTTCAAAAACCTGGAGGACTGTTGAAACGTTATCAACATTGCCTACAATGGAAAAAATAAAATAACCTTTTGGGTTTTTGGACATTGGAAGGGACTTTCTCTGACTGTGGAGAGGAAGAAAATGAGTTTTTAAACCAGTGTTTGAAGGCTCTCTTTGGTTTATTAAAGTTTCTGAAGAGTATTATTTCTTCATCCCCGAAGGCATTCGAGTTCCAACGTCAACCCAACCAGTTTTAACAGTCAAAAGCACATGACTCACAGCTTCTATGTGGCTGAATCAAAGTCAGACACTGTCTATTGATATGCCGAGTTGCAAAAAAGGTGCGAGTGCTTCTGAGAGTCTGAAAAGAGGCCACCTGGATAACAGCCCCTGAGGTGTGCAGCGAGGCTGTAAATATAAATGACAGTTACCACCCCTCTCCAGGACTTCACTCCTTCTCGCTTCAAAGAGGAGAAAAAAATCCTGCTCAGAGCAAGGGCATGGTGCTGCCGAGGTTGTTTTTTAACTCCTAATTGTGTTCTGGCTTTTATAAAGTACAGATCTTTTTCTATATATCACTCTTTATCAGCAGACTTGAAAAAATAAATGCTTCAGGTTGCTAAAGTCCAGCTAACAGACTCATCTTCATGACCATGATGAATCAGACCATATATCTTGAAATTATAGGATGTTGCTAATTTACACTGAGATTATAGCATGTATAGGTTTTTAAAGATTGAACATCTTTATTTAAACAACTCTGACTGGTTCAAGTCAGAATGATCAGCTTTTAAATGACAGAATTAAGGAGAAAGTGGCAAAAACAAAACAACATTTACCAGTTTCACATAATAAAAATCCATATAACCTTGTGTGGTCTCAGCTGTATGGAGGGATTTACAGGGAGCTGCATCTCTTTGTGTTTCTTTATCAGCTGCTTTGCAAACCATCATAAAAGTCTGTAGCACAGTGGCATAAATCAGGTTACTGGGATGACTGGCGGCTGAAGCAGCTCCGCTTTGATCAGACTGTGGAGACGCCCCATGTCCTCATCCTCAGCTGCTCCTTCAGCACCTGTTTACTAGTTCAGGCTTGCCTGGTTAGAAGGCAAAGCTCATTCACTCAATGTCATGGGCTCAGATGTGACACACACACACACACACACACACACACACACACACGCACACACACACACACACACACACAACATATATGTAAAGGAATTTGGCCAGTACTCGGAGGTGGGACAATTTTTTTTTTATTGCAAGCTCCTAATTTGTTGGACCCCCACTGATTCTGGCTCACTTTCTCATCAACTGCTACAAATTTCAGGCTCTTGTCTTTTCTGAAATAGTTACTGCATTTGTGCGTATTAAACAACTGTTTTCCTCTTTAAAAACTGTGAATAAAAGAGTTACAACTGGTCAGTCCAGTCAGTGTGGATTTTGGTTTGGAGATGAGTGCAGTAACACACACACACACACACACACACACACACACACACACACACACACACACACACACACACACACACACACACACACACACACACACACACACACACACACACACACACACACACACACACACACACACACACACACACACACCAGTCACCTCTGAAGGTGAGAGTAATTACATAAACCCTGGCAACAATGTGCTCTCTCCTTGCTTTTTAAATGCATAATGAAATGCCTTGCAGCCTCTGGTGATCAAACAAGTGCTTGATAGCAGCTTTGGTTTGAAAGAAGGTTGAATATGTTTATTTGCATGTGGAGGAGTGAGTGACTTTGAGGTGGAGATCAGGCAGATTAGCATTAACTGACAGAGACCTGTGCAAACAGACACTCCCCCAACATCCAGCCGGGGCATCGGTCCACTTCCTCCG